GACTCGACGAAGAAAGCTTGGGATATACTCGAGAAGGCGTATGTGGGAGTTGACAAAGCGAAGGTGGTGAGGTTACAAACTCATAAGAGGCAGTTTGGTGAATCAAATGAAGGCTTGCGGTGAGTCGGTTTCGGAGGAAAACATTGTGTCGAAGGTGTTGCGTTCTTTAACGGCAAGATTCGACAAAATTGTTGTCACAATTGAAGAATCAAAGGATCTCAAGACTATGACAAAAGATGAACAAAAAAGTTCATTGGAAGCTCATGAACAAAGGATGAATGAAAGAGGAAACGATAAGGCAAAAGCGGAAGTGGATTTGCAAGCTCATTTTAATGAGAAGAATAAGAGATCGAAAGGGAAATGGTCTTCTAGAGATAAGAAGAATTTCCAGAATTTTGGTGGAAAAGATCCACAAAATTCAAGAGGACAAAGAGGAGAAGGAACCTCCAAGGATGGTAGTCAAGGCAACTACAAGCCGCTTGACAAAAGTACCAAGAGATGTTACAATTGTCAAAAGCTTGGACATTTCTCAAGAGATTGTCGTTTCAAGCGCAAGGAGAGTGATGCGGATGAAGCGAAGGTTGCTAGGCAAGAAGTGGATGATTATAGCACACTTCTTGTGGTGATTACGGAGGAGAATAATGGCATGGACAACAACTACTGCAGTGCAGAAAAACTGCAGAAAATGCGTTCGGAGAAAAACGCATTAGTAACGGTTCGAGATGGAGTCCAAGGTAGTGATGAGTGGTACTTGGATTCTGGTTGTTTGACGCATATGACGGGTAGAAAAGATTGGTTCGTGAAGATCAATCAAGCCATGCGAAGTAGAGTGAGATTCACGGATAATACGACTTTGGCGGCCGACGGTGTCGGTGATGTCTTGATCATGAGGAGGGATGGTGGTCATTCCTTGATCAAGGACGTTTTGTACATTCCTGGAATTAAGTGTAACCTTTTAAGCATTGGCCAATTACTTGAAAGGAATTACACAATTCGCATGGAAAACAAAGTATTGCGCGTTTTGGACCAAAATGGAGTTTTGATTCTTAAGGCTCCTATGGCTGCCAATAGAAATTTCAAGATTGAAATGAAAGTTATGGAGCATAGGTGCTTAGCTACTGCTGCAAGTCATGAGGAATGGTTATGGCACTACCGTCTCGGTCATCTCAACTTTCGTGATCTCGACGCATTACAAAGACATGGTATGGTGTTCGGGCTGCCAATGATTAATATTCCAGCTGAAATATGTGAAGAGTGTGTTCACGGGAAGCAACACAAGAGTAATTTCAGCAAGGATGCGGGTCATAGGACCAAACATCACCTAGAGGTGGTGTATTCCGATGTATGTGGACCAATGCAAGTCAATTCCTTTAGTGGCAATCGATACTTTGTCACGTTTATTGATGATTTTAGTAGGAAGCTGTGGATTTACCTCATTAAGAGGAAGGATGAGGTGTTTGAAGTGTTCAAATGGTTTAAGGCAATGGTTGAGCGCCAATGCGGTAAAAAGCTCAAAACTCTCAAAACGGACAGTGGTGGTGAATTCACATCCGGTGAGTTTATGAGATATTGCAATGATGAGGGGATAATCCGTGAGGTGGTGCCTCCCTACACTTCACAACAAAATGGCATTGCGGAGAGAAAAAAATCGGACAATCATGAACATGGTACAAACCATGTTAAAAGGCAAAAATTTACCGAAAGAGCTTTGAGGTGAAGCGGTATCTACAGCTGCCTATTTGTTGAATAGGTTTCCGACAAAGAAGCTGGAAAAGATAACTCCAGAAGAGGTATGGTCCGGATTTAAACCGAGTTTGAGTCACTTGCGCGTTTTCGGTTCGGTTGCGTTTCGGCACATTCCGGGACAGCTTAGAAAGAAGCTTGATGATAAGGGTGAGAAGTTGTTACTTGTTGGATATCATCCTACCGGAGGCTACAAATTGTTTGATATGAGTAGCAAGAGGATTGTGGTAAGTCGGGACGTGATTGTGGACGAAATTCGGACGTGTGACAACAAAATTTCTATTGTTTCTGTACAGGAAATCGATTTACCAAGTGAGGTAATCGATTTCCAGCCCGTGACAGAGCCCTCTGGTGCTACTGGAAGTCAAAATTCAGGCCCAGAAATCGATTTCTTGGGAGGAAATTTGAATTTCCAGCCTACTAATGATCCTGGACAGCAACCATTCGCAACGGAGAATGGTGAAGCGAATAGACGACCAACGAGGCAGAGAGGTATGCCTCAAAGACTCTGAGATTGTGAGGTATTCCGTGATAGCGAGATCAATCATGATGGTGATCTCATCCATTTCACTTTAATGGCTAAATCCGAATCGGTGAATACGGAGGAGGCGTTAAGCGATCTAAAATGGATGAGTGCAATGAAGGATGAGCTGGAATCAATTGAGAAAAACAATACTTGGATGTTGGTCGATTTACCGAAAGGTAAAAAGGCAATTGGTGTGAAATGGGTCTTCAAGGTGGAAGCAAATTCGAAAGGTGAGATAATCAAGCATAAGGCTCGATTAGTGGCAAAGAGATTTTTGCAAAAGGAAGGCATTGATTTTGATGAGGTATTCACACCAGTTGCAAGGCATGAAACCATCCGGTTAGTTGTTGCGATTGCAAATACCAACAGTTGGCCGTTATATCAAATAGACGTCAAATCGACATTTTTGAATGGTCCATTGAATAAAGAGGTGTATGTGGGACAGCCACCGAGTTTTGTTGTTCAAGACCAAGAGGCAAGAGTCTACAAGTTGAGGAAGGCACTCTATGGTTTGAAACAAGCTCAAAGAGCTTGGAACAAACACATAGATGGTTTTCTTAACGATATTGGTTTCAAGAAATGCGTGTCCGAGCATGAGGTGTATGTGAAAACGGGTGCTAGCGAAGGGGTGATCATTCTTTGTCTATATATGGACGATTTGTTGATTACCGGAAGTTGTGAATCATACATTTCAAAGTTCAAGCAAGAGCTTATGAGGGAATTTGAAATGAGTGACCTTGGTACTATGACACATTTCTTAGGCATAGAGTTCCAAAAGACAAAGTTGGGGCTGCTCATGCATCAAAGAAGGTATGCAATTGAGATCTTGAAAAGGTGTGATATGAAGCATTGTAATGCTGCCATAACTCCATCCGAGGCACGATTACAACTATCCAAGAGTGAGGAAGAGCAAGATGTGGATCCAACTCAATATCGGAGATTGGTTGGATCATTGCGTTACTTGTGCAATACGCAGCCTGATTTGGCGTTTAGTGTCAGTATTGCTAGTAGGTTCATGGAAAATCCAAAGGTATCACACTTGGCAGCGGTTAAGAGGATCCTTCGTTATGCGAAAGGTACTCTTGGTTGTGGAATTTTGTTTCCGGCAAGTGACACGGGCAAAAGTTGCAATTTACTTGGATACACCGACTCCAATTGGTGCGGAGATAAAGACGATCAAAAATCAACGGCGAGTTATGTCTTTATGTTCGGCGGTGCACCAATCTCTTGGTGTTCTCGAAAGGAGCCGGTGGTTTCTCTCTCTTCTTGCGAGACGGAGTATATTGCAGCTTCGATGTGTGCATGCCAAGCTGTGTGGCTTGTGAATTTGTTGTGTGAGCTGGACAGCTGCGCGTGAGAGGGAGTTTTGTTGTTGGTGGACAACGTTTCAGCCATCAACCTTGCCAAGAATCCCATAGCACATGGGAGAAGCAAGCACATTGAGATGATGTTCCATTACTTGCGCGATTTGGTGAGTTCTGGACAGTTACGTTTAAGCTACTGCAAAAGTGAAGAACAAGTCGCGGACTTGTTGACGAAATCAGTTACAAATGATGTTTTCAAGCGACTCGTGGTGAAGTTGGGGATGAAGAACATCGAGCATTTGACTTAAGGTGGTGTGTTGGATGTTATATAAGTCAAATGCAATGTAACTATGATTGGAAGCTATTGGAAAAGCTGCCAGAATGCTGCAGGAAAAACCGAAAAAATACTTCTGTTTTTTAGGTTGTTTTGTTTAGCTTTTATTTGTTACTTTGTTTAGTATTAGTAGCCACTATATATACATTTTGTAGCATGTTGAATGAGTTAATGCCATATGAGTTTTTTACCCTCTCAATTAATCTTTATTCTCTCTAAACTTCATCTTCCCCAATCCTCCAATTTCACCAAAATTATCCATCACCTCCATTGATTCACATACAAGCTTTTGTGTTTGTTCCAACAATTGTGTCTTCTTTCCTCCACTTCACTCTTACTAGAGTTCTATTGTACTTTTGTCTAAAGAATAGATTAGACTTGTGGTTAGGTATTTTTTTTTCTTTTTGTATATTTAAATGTTGATTGGTTGGCTTGTTTATTTTATTTTATTTTTATTTTTTTAACGATGTTGCTTTTTGCGCTTCTGTTTATATTTTCAACCTATGTTTTGTCAAATTTTTTGATCGAAAATAAATTTTGATTCTCTTTTTTTATTATTTATAAAATTTCTATTTTTCTATTAAAAATTTCAAAATTATAAAAAATAAGTCATATATTAAATTTAATACTATCATGTTAATTGATTCAATTTAGTAATTATATGTAAAACTTAAACTAAATCAATTCAATTCAATGATTGAATTATCAAATATTATCATAATAAATTTCAAATACTTTAAACATGTATTACTATATATTTTTGTAGTTAATATTTACATATATTTTAAATAATTCAATACACTACATCACACGCATACACAATTGTGGACGCAGAGCTGGGACCATTTCCTTTGTTGGTCTTAAAATTTGAGCCTTTTTATTGACGACAGGATCCGACTCTACCGCTTAACACCTTCAATCTTCATTTTCATTTTCACTTTTATTAATTTTTTATTATTTTATTTATTTCCCTTTCTTCATCAATAATATCTTGTTATATTCCTTCATCACTTTTTTTTCTTATCTATATAATTCTCTCTTCTTTTTCTCTCTCAATTTTCAATTAACCTCAAACAGTAACCACACACATCTCATGGAAATGGAAGACCATAACCATCATCATCAACATCAACAACATCAACATCATCATCATCATGAGCAGCAGCAACAACAACACTATGGTGGTAGCAGTAGTAGTAATACTATAACTGATCTCACACAACTCATTAACATTGGACAAAGATCAACAACAATACCCACCCACTTTCCCACGGCGGAGCTATTCCCTTCCGGCAACCACCCAAATCTGGCAGCAACGGCGACACAACAACAATACGAGATGATGATGTTTGGTCGTCAAGTAGCCGATATAATGCCTCGTAGTCTTCATGACTTTGTTTCAACTGATTCTGCTGCTGTTGTTGCTGCTGCTGCAACCACCACTACCACGAGCGCCTCAACTCCTTCTCTTAGCGGTAATTTAGAGGCGGAAACAACCGGTTGCATTGGTGGAGGAGGAGGTGGAAACATCGTTGATGCTTCCACCGGTAGATGGCCGAGACAAGAGACTCTTACTCTTCTTGAAATCAGATCTCGTCTTGATCCACAATTCAAAGAAGCTACTCAAAAGGGTCCTCTTTGGGATCAACTCTCTAGGTAGGTTTACCATTTTCTTCTTCACTCTCTCCTTCAAATTCAGTATATGTTGTTGTTGTTCTTGTTTCTCACTCTCTACTCAGTTTTAGACTATTGATGATGATGATGATGAAGGTGTAGTTAGAAAATGTTTAAGTTCATATTCCAAGATTTGTACTTTTTTTTCCTTTTTGAAATATTGTACCCTCTTTTAAGTGCAAGTTTTTTTTTTCTCTTTTATTACTTAATTAGTTTTAAAAAATTCATTCAACTTTCTGATTATTTTGCATTTATAATTCTATCTTACATGGAATATCCGCAATCGATCACAGGCTCTTCCTTCGAAAACTAGTTCTAATTGACAATTTGAATGACAATGCATAAATATGATACCATTTTTTATAGCAAAACCTCATTGTAGCATGTGGTTTAGTTATTTGGTAATATTCATAACTCCATCTAGGGTTCAATTTTATTTTGGGTGAACCATCGATCTTCTACCTGCAACTGCACAAATCAATTTTTCAAGATAACAGTTATCTATTTAAGAGCTTGATTTGATTTGTCTTAATATGTATCGGCTAACGATTGAACTAAAGACCAAATCGTTAAGCAACTCAAATATCAATCATTTCTATCGCACACCATGATTGTACTGGCTAGGGTTAACATGTTATGTGATTTTGCTGTTTTTCTTCCATACTGATTTTACATTGTTTGTGTTGTATTAAGGATAATGTGTGAAGAGCATGGATATCAACGAAGTGGAAAAAAATGCAGGGAAAAGTTTGAAAATCTATACAAATACTACAAGAAAACAAAAGAAGGAAAAGCAGGAAGACAAGATGGTAAACATTACAGGTTCTTTCGTCAACTCGAAGCTTTATACGGAGAAAACAATAACCCTTGTTCATCTTCACTCCCACAAAACAATTTCGGAACCAACAACAATCAAGAAATGTTTCATTCTCACAACAAATACTGTGATAGTCTCAGCCTCACAAACTCTACCGAATTCGACACGTCTTCGTCTGACAACGACAACGATCATAGCATCGAGGGATCGATGGAGAAGAGAAAAAAGAGGATGAGTGGAAGAAGCTTCTGGAAGGTAAAGATAAAAGACTTCATTGATTCACAAGTGAAGAAGTTGGTGGAGAAGCAAGAGGAATGGTTGGAGAAACTCACGAAAACACTCGAACAAAAGGAAAAGGAGAGAGTTTTAAGAGAAGAAGAATGGAGGAAACAAGAGAAAGAGAGGTTGGAAAAAGAGCATAGTTTTTGGGCTAAAGAAAGAGCATGGATTGAAGCTAGAGATGCCGCTTTAATGGAAGCTTTGCAAAAACTAAAAGGAAAGGACGACGAGACAATTACAAAGACTCAATCTTCATCTCATGATGGAAACAAGAAGAGAAAGGAAAACACAAGAGGTTTATTCTACTTCGATAATAACAACAATGTTGAAAGATCTTGTTTATATAACAACAATGGAGTAGGAGTAGGATCTTCTTATTGTGATGATCAAATTCAAAGGGAAGTACAAAGGAACGACGGTTCAAATTCTAACAATATTGTTGTTGCAGCTGAAAGTTGTTTTCCATTTTTGATGGGTGAGGGTGGAAATTTGTGGGATAATTACAGGGTTAATAAACCTAATCAAAACCAGTGATTAGTGCTTTTATGTTGAAAACTCAAAAGTTATAGTTTTTGTAAGAATCTAAATTCAAACTTTTGTTGAAATAGTTTTTGGTTATTTTTTTGGCTGAATATTGAGTAGTTGTTGACAGAGTTTTCTTCTCCAGAAACATCAGAGGGTAAAACAAAAACAAAAAAATGTGTTTCAGATATATTCGACACTGATTCAGGTGAGTGTTTCTTTGTCATGTTTGTCTCCTTACTCTCCTCCATGCATGTAGCATTCTTTTTTGAAATTGTGTAGAATGGGTTACAGATGGCATGAAACATTAACCTATTTGAATAGTTTGGGCCTGAGTTTGTAATCGAAAAAGAAATTATATTACTCTTTATGATAATTTTTTTTTATGAATCATAAATTTTGAAATGCAAATAATCTCCATTATAAATAAAAATTCACTTTATATATATATATATATATATATATATATATATATATATATATATATATATATATATATATATATATATATATATATATATATATATATATATATATATATATATATATATATATATATATATATATATATATATATATATATTGAGATATATAAAATAAAATAATAGAATAAAATAAATCATTAATTTTTAAGATTTCAAATACTTAGTTATGAATTTATAAAAGATTTAATATACAGTATATTAAATGTATTTAGAAGTGTTTTTCAGGTGGAACTTGCACAATCAATCAATAATCTTTTGGTTTTATTTGAGTAGTTTGAGCTATTTAGCATAGAGTTTTTAGGTGGGTAAAGTGGCTTGGACTTCTCCTTGAATCAATTTTCGGAGTGTTTGAGTTGTTGCAAAGTCTAGATAAAAGAAAATTGACATTTTTAAGTTGGTCTCAATCTAATATTCTTTGGTCGTGTGACGATTAATCACTAAATAACTATAATATTAGTGTTGAATTGAGTTCGACTCATGTTTAATTTTTATCATCTCTTTGACTTATTTGAAATGGAACTCGCTCAAGTCACTACACATATAAGAATGCATTGGATTATCAATTTTTTTCCTTTTATTTTGCTAGATGATCGTGTCTATCTTTCTCTATCTTCTCACTATATATTTGAGGTAGGATAGATCAGACTTATGGTTTGGTTGACTTGTGTTCTATTTTTTTTGGTGTGTGGTTATTCTTGCTCTTGCGTATTTCTTCTATTGTTTATTCCTTTATGTGAAAACTCTTTGACTTTTCCACTATTTAATATATGGTTTTAAATAAATAAAATAAAATAATATCAAAGTGTAAAGATTTCGTTCACTATAATTATCACATTATTAAATAATTTTAAAAGATAGGATGTTTTATGCTGATAATATAAAATTTTATTCATCAAATTTGTGTTGTATTTTTTTTTAATTTCTTAAGAGATACAAAGTTTCTATACAGTTTCTCAAAAAAATGTTTACTTAGAAGTAGACACATATACACTATGGCACTGGTAGGAAATTCATTTTGTGTAGACAAATGTGAGCCTTAAAGTCTGACGAGTCTTTGGAACTTCACATGTCACTTGAAGAATAGTTTATTAATTAATGTAATTTAATTACAACAATAAATACAAAGTACACAGAAGAAGAAAAACACTTGACAACATCTTAGTTTCTATGTTTTTGCCTGACCCGAAGTGAGTGATGATATCAACCGTAAGCCCTTATCTGGCCCTATTGCTGTAGCTTCACCCAAAGGGGTGGCCGGTTGTAATTGAAGTTTTCTATTTTCAACGCCATGAACTTTCAGTTAAGATATCGAAATATATATTCTCTCTTCTTTTAGAATATCTTCCACTGTTGTGCTTGATAGGTCACTATAAAATGACAACACTATTTGTTGGGTTTTGTACTCAAAGAAACATTAAATGCTACCACCAAAGTAAAACTGTTGCAGTACACCAATTCTCTGTCAAGACCGTTCCTTGCTTTTCTTATATTAATATTGTTTTGTGAAGTCAAATATATTGAATTCAAAGTTAATGGAGTAAAGTAATAAATTATTCTCTAATCTACTAAGCAATGTCAAATAACCTCGGGAAATTTTGAATTTTGAAATAATTAAAACTCTAAATCTGTAAAATTTTACATAAATGAGTTCTTCTATAATATTTAGGCATTGTTTTGTATCGATGAAATGAGATAAAATTGTATGGTATATGATCGAAAATTTGTGATATTCTATTATTTTGATTAGCTAAATTTTGTGGAGAATAAATTAAAATTGTATGGAATTGAATAAAAAATAACAGTTAAAATAAAAGAAAGTATAGAAAAAAAGAATCACAATATAATAACATAAAAGATTAATGTATAAATTTCAAAATTGAAAAAAAATAATGAACGTTGTCAAATGACAACTAAAAAATAATACTATATGAAAATTATTATTAACACATAATTTATCCTCAATCATCCCTAGTACACTCACACCCTTGAATCTTATATATACAGCCTTGTACTTTCTCATATTTCATAAAACTAAACGGTTTTGAACTTCGAAAAACTTAAATCTTAAATATAACATTGTACTTTTCTGTACTTTCACAAAATTAAGTGATATGAGACTTCTTCAACATATATATTTTCAACCAACCTGAACATTCTCCACCTTTGTTAAAAATAATACATTAACTTTTATTGTCTTCACATTCATATTTTTAAAAACTATGATACTCCATCAAAAAAGAGTATACTTCACTTGAAGTTAAACCTTTAAGAATTTTCATGTCAAAAGTCAGGCTAAAAATTTATGGTTCAACTTTCATGTTGGTTGAAAGCTCTTCAACCACCAAAAGATTCTTGTAATACACATTGCATCAATATCAATCAATCCTAATGTATTAACCATAAACAAACACCTTGTAATCCTGATTATATAAACACATCTTTGACTTGAATTTTTCACAAGTCAAAACAGTTTTTCATTAATTTTCTCAACCCAAACTGCATAGCAGAATTTGTGACTACAACACAACAACTCTTTTACACCACGTCCCTTCTTTTCTAATGTAAAAGATCAAACAAAATTGCAACCTTTTTACATTGCTTGGAATAAAATATATTGAAATACATAAAAAAACAAAACAAAGACGCGAGAGGTAATCCCTCGCAAAATAGCCATTACACGAAAACATCAAAGTTGCAGGGTGAATATGCGGGATGGTTCCGCAAATTAATGTACATGCTGGGTGTTATTCACACCGCTGCGCAGAAATAAAATAAAAAATTATATCGTTTTTCATTTCGCAACTGATTGTGAAAAATTTAAAATTTTTAAAAAGTAAGTTGGGAGATGAAAAACACGCTGCAACAGTTTTTAAGAAAAATTGGTGGAAAATTAAAAGGCTCAATTAATGAAGCGTCAGTGATACAGATTATCGTTCTAACTTGATCAGACGTTACATGATTGATTTCACGCCGCAACACTTTTATCTGACACAGACGTTGTGAAATAAAAATCACACCGCAACTCCCAACGGTTTTAAATGTTGTAGACTGAATTTCACGCTGCAAACTTCCTATATAATTCCACTGCTTCGGCTTCTCCCCCACATTTGTGAAACCACTAACTTTAGTCTCTATAAATCTCTCTTTTTCTTCAACACAAACACATCTTAGGAGATAATAGTTATACTAAAATATATATGAAAATAAAAACCAAATTGCATGCTCAAGTCGTCCTTCCAAAAACAATGCCATTGAATAAAAATGTATTATATCAAGTATCAAGAATCAATAATGAATTGGACCAAAGTGGGAAAATCTCCTTTCTTGCCCCCAACTTTAAACACACCTATAATAATTACTATCAATGCAAAGGAATAACAACATCAAGATGATAACAAGTGCATCATTGATAATATCACACATTCACATAAATGAAATATATAACTACCCTGCACCAATACAATAATATAAAGTGACAAAAACAAAATTACTATTAATTTTCTGCAGAGAAAGAAACAAAGAGAAAACCTTTTGTGCAGTCTAATATATATAATAAGGGTGGTGATGGTAGTAACTGGTACGTACTTAACCGCTACTACACGCCGAGTCTGTGCAGATACATACACTACACAACACTACACATGCAATATTGCATCATGCACCTTACGCTCATGGTCATGAAACTGCCACTATAACCGTACCTTTTTAAAGAACTTTCCTGCTAAAGTGAAACATTTTGGCAGTTTTTCCTCACCTTTTTCTTCCTCCTTTAATTGCTAATTATTTGTCTTTAACCTTATAGACACATAACTAATTAAAGAGTCAAACGGTGCTTGGTGGGGGAGAGAGGTGTAACCATGATAGTAATAATACTATGCTTTTTCTCTGATGCGTCTGACGTGACTACCTGCACAGCTTAAGTATGAAGGAAGCTAAACTATGGCTGTACCTCAAAAAATGGTTTAAAAAATAATTTGGTTACCCTAGAATGCATTCTGGTTTTAGCAACTTGCTTTTAAGTATTATTATTAATATAACTAATCTCATGCATATATAATTGACAGTAATAATGCGATCTGTTTCTGACATCTCAGTGTCAAACTGGTAGATGAATACTTTCTTATAGTGTCTAGATTAAGTTATAATAGTAGGATACGCCAAAAATAACTCTATCCCTATTCTAATAGAGACACTAGCTAGAATGCCTCATACCTGATGGTTTCAGAAAGGACACTATACTATTGCAAGGACACTATACTATTGCAAAACTAAGAAATGTTAATTTGCCACTAATATCAACTTACTTAATTCAAGAATAACTTTAATTGACTTATTGGGCTTAATAATTCTTCCTAAATATATTCAGTTTCAACAATCCAACTATCAAAATAATCATTTTCATTGAGTAAGTCAAATTTATAAAATTTTACGAAAAAAAATATTAAAAATATTAAATCTTAATTCAGTTAGTATTTTATTTAAGTGTTATTCAATGAGTTTAATTTGAAATGCATTTTTGTTTCCCAG